GACCATCTTATCTAAAAACTTAAACTATACTTTTTTCATAACCATCACCTTTTATTTACTTAATGATGTCTTCATCACTAATTATATTGCAGGTGTCAAGTCTATGGTTCTTGCCTTTTGCGTATGTTTTCATCGCCAAGTTTGCGTATTCCTTGGCTGAGTCCATTAGCTGTGGTGACACACCTAAGTCATGGTGGAACTTGCAAAGGATGTTGTTGATTCGAAGGACAACTTCATACTTGTTAGCGTTCATAGATGCAGTCACTAAGCAATTAGGCTTCTCTCAGACGACCTTTGCCCTCACGACAAAGGTAGTAGATGACGATGTACAGAGGAGATACGAGCAAGAGATGATGGAGTTTAGCAACTCATCTGCTATGTTCACAATCACAGCTACACTTGCATTGCTTAATCTAATTAGTTTCATTTGGGGAATGAAGAAACTTGTTATGGCTGCAACAACACTAGAAGGAGTGGGAAATGTGATTCTATGTGGATTAATAGTTATAGTGAATGTGCCAGTGTATGAAGCACTCTTTTTCCGCAGTGACAAGGGAAGATTTCCATCCTCTGTTATGTTTAGGTCTGTTGTCTTAGTATCAATAGCATGTATGCTACCTATCTTTTAGATTGTAATAGGACATCAAACATGGGTTAAATAATATACGGAGTGAGCAATAAGTACCTCTTCATCTTCAATTAGATATCTCATGTTCGAGTAGTTAGAGGGAAGTTAAAAATTTTAATTTATGATTTCTAAATCATACCTCTCCCAATTTCACTCGCCTCTCTCCTCCCTCTCCTAAACTCGCTCACCAGATCTACAAGTACATATGTATACCAGTTACATATATACAATTATTTGACAGATATACATATACAATTTGCCTCTCTCCACTCTCTACCCTCTCTCGCTCGCATCTCTCCTCCTTCTAACATATAACTACGAATCGTAATTAGCAAAGTATAGCTATAGAGCCTAGTCCAATTTGTTTTAATGGTTATTTGCAAAATTTCCTCTTTACTATATGAAGAAAGAAATAAGTCAAATTTGATATCATATATAATGACCGAGACTCGTACATAAGATTGTTCTAGCTTATATTCTTCTAAGGAAGTATGAACTACTTTCCATGCTAAAAGTCTTTCTAAACTCTTGAACTTAAGAGAGAATTCTTTTCAAGCTAATCTTTATTATATGATATAAAGCTTAATAAAAGAAAGGTGTTGGTCAAAATATTTATTAATCTTTTTTTCTCAACTTTTTATATTTTTTCCTATTTATTTACTACTTATTATTATACAAAAATAAATGTGTCATTTACAAATCCTTCATTTATTCATATTTTTTAATATAAAATTAATTTAAGTTATTAATTTCCCGACTATTTAATTATTGTATAGAAAGTTTGTTGCTTTACAAATAAATCATGTGGCAGAATGTTTTTTTCGAAGTTGCTGCCATAAAATTTTCTCTTCCTTTCGGTTAAAATTATTTCTCTTTTTTAATCTTTTGACGGTAAATAAATCTCAACCATTAATTTTTACCTATACACACGGCGAGTGAGAGCGGGAGAGGATCAACTCAGCGTGTGACACATATAATTTAAAGTATATATTACTTTGATGTAAAATAAACACATTTAAATAATAATAAATATCTCATGTATACTAATAAACAACAACTTGTGAAATATAACACATAGAGAAATTCATTATTAATTGCTTCAATTTAAAATGTGTAAAGCTCAAATGTGTTTGAGAATATTAATCATTAGCATAGGTAGTAACTCATTGATGAAACTTAAATTTACTATACAACCACATTAATTCAAATCTTGTTATTGAATTAGTGAGAATATTTATTTAAGATAGAGAAAAACAACAATTTAGAGGAGTTTTTTTTGCAATTTTTTGAAACTTGAGAACACAATTAGTGTAATAAAAGAAGCTATCAGAAATGTTTGTAAATTAAACACAAAAGAGTTGGTGCTAAGTGATTGCACTTAGCTCTTTTTTTTTCCTGATTCAAGGTCACTGTAATCTTTGACTAATCTATTTTTAAATTTGGCATAAGAAAATTTGTAAATTAAACACAAAAGATCAGTCACTGTTGAGTCATTAGACATAATCTTTTTTTCTGATTCAAGATTACTATAATCTTAGACTAATCTGTTTCTAAATTTGGCATAAGAAGTTACAAGAAATATTTATAAACTAAATACAAAAAGGGTCATTGTTGAGTTATTGCACTTGGCCTTTTTTCTGATCTAATATCATTTTAATCTTTGAAAGATATTTTCCTAAATTTGGTATATTAATTAAAATTTGCTTCTAAATTATTTGGAAAATAAGGTGTAATATGATTATTGAGGTGAATTTGTATAATTATAAGAGATGAAATATTTTATATTATTAATTTAACTACTTAATAGGCAAATGAAAACACACACTCAAAAGATATAATCAAAATTTGAACAAAAAAATATCTAATTTGAACGCTTTATTAGAAGTTGGATATTCAATTAGAATATGACTTAATTTGAATATCTAAATGAAATATAAAGACAAATTTAAGGGGCCTCATTATTGTAAAGTTGACCAATATGAATGAGCCTGCTATTGTAAAGTTGACCAATAATAAATGAGTCTCATTATTATAAAGTTGACCAATAATAAAATATCTTGACCAATCTTATTATTATAGTTTGAAAGAGACAAATATAGTTCAGATATAAAAGCTATAACTATAAACGGACACTCATATCTCTCTCCACTCAATTATAAGAAGGAAAACAAACAAATCATACATATAAGAAACAACATTTCTACTTACAAATCATGCCTCATCTACCACTGCGCCGTTGTTGGCATTCAAACTCATCCCGCTCTACCACCCCACTATCACCACCATCACAACCAATACCTTAATCGCTAATATTCAGTAGTACCATTCCCCGTTCCGTTGATCAAACACCCCAATCGTTGTTGTAGATGGGGCTCTCCGACCATTCACTAAATATGAATAACAATCAAGAAATAACTATGAACACTCAAGACCCTGTGTACCTGGCTCAAATTATAACAGAAGGAATGAGGATGAAGATAGAAACCTACGACAACCACATGAGTTTTCAAGGGAATTACCCACCCGTGGAGAATCTAATTTTTACCTAATGGCGGGACCACTACCCAATTCCTACAATTCTCCCATGGGTAGAACTCCATTTTTATCACCCCCAACAAACAGGGGTGACAGTAATGGGAACAAACAACCCACTAGTCTCGTCGATACATGTCCCAAGTTCCTACTCTTCGAGCAATACTCACACCACACCTTCACACCAACCACAAATTGAACAAGAATCAACTCATATTCCATCGATAACATTCCAATTAGGAATTTTCTCAAGGATTTATGTTCTCAATTTCATGCAATCCTATTTGTAACTATGCATTTTAATGAGATGCCAAAGGGATTTTTCAATTTTTTTTTTTTGCATAATTACAATTAGGATTTCATGGAGTTGAGAACATAAATCTTTGGGTGAATTAATTCCTTGTTGGAATGTCATCAATGGAAGAGGAGTTATGTCTTGTTCGATTTGTGGTTGGTGTGAATATTTCTCGAGGGTCGGAAGTTGGGACGTAGATCAACAAGACTAGTGGGTTGTTTGTTCCTAGTTGTCACCCATGGTTATTGGGGTGATAGAAAGGGAATTCGGTCCATGGGAGAATCATTGGTATTGGGTAGTCATCCCCCGGCCAAGGGCGGAGGCAACATATAATCGGCGAAAAATATTACTATTTATACATGGTTAAAATTATTTTTTAGGTATGTATAATAGATGTCGAACCCCCTTTCACTAGTTCGTGTGTTTACTTTTTAGATTTTGAACCCACTTATTAAAATTTCTGGCTCCGCCACTACCCCCACTGGGTGAAAACTAGATTCTCCACGGGTGGGTAATTCCCTGGAAAATTCATGTGGTTGTTGTAGGCTTTGATCCCCAACCTCGATTCTTCTATTATAATTTTACTCTCACGACGTTCTGGATATCTACAATTATCTCTTGATTGTTATAGTCAGGTACACTTTATAGGATATTTTACCTAAATAAGGGTGGATTTGTAATGCCATTCCCTCAAAGCCCAAAGCTTTTAATGTCAATACATTTGTGAGACTTTCTACTATTCACTGTTGGATAAAATTTTCTTGACAATTTGGTGCAAGTATCGAAAGACAAATCTATATCTTTAAATATCCCGTTTCATTCTCTTTATTTTCTCATAAATATAGCTTGTGATTAATTGGACTAATATCCAAAAAATGGCGATAACAAAGATTCATTGGTGTTCAAAATCAAAAAAGGAAAATGGATATCACTGATTGATCATCCGTAAGCTTAACAAGAAAGTTCACCACCGCGTGAAGCGTGGATAAATTACACATGAATAGAAAATGAGTATTCAAAAAATGTCAAAAGAAATCTCACACGGAAATTAATATACCCTAATTTTAAATTCTATATATGCAATATCAATCCAAAGAATGGCTAGCCTGTTGAACATGATTCTCCTTCCTCACCTGAGAAGAAGAAATCCAAAAATGCATCATCTAATTCATAATGTTTGGGACCAAGTTTATGGACATTCATTTTGGAATTAATGTTATGGGCCACATTCAGAATTTTCCTCCTTAGCCCATCTTATATTTTCTCTTATCCAGATTTTGTAAATATCTCTAGAGAATAAAAGTTTGTTATTATCACATCCAATAGGAAAAGGGACAGCTGTGAATTAGTTAGGGTAGAACTTTCTTTTTGTTTCTTTTAGCTTGTATATAGATGGTTTGATACAGCGATGAAGCGATGAATGCAAGAGAGAAAAATTTCCCAAATTTTCTGTTCTCCTACATGGTATCAGAGCAATAGGTGCTCTCTTCTCCGTTTCTTCCCTCTCATTTTTTCACCTAATCTTGATTTTCTCTTCCCCTTGCAATGGTTGATACTCCTTCTTCATCAGAAGTCCAGCCAGGCTCTCAGTCCAGCACTCTTATTGACTCTGCCAGTCCCTTCTATATTCATCCTTCTGATTCCCTTGGAATGCTGTTGGTCAATTCTCCTTTCGATGGTAAGGGTTATGCTGGCTGGAGTCGTGCTCTTGTCAACCAAAAACAAACTTGGACTGATTGATGGCAGTCTAGCTGAGCCTCTGCCTTCCGATCCTACTCATAAGCTTTGGGATAGATGTAATGACATGGTCATTTCATGGATCCTCAACTATCTTTCCAAGGACATTGCTGAATCTGTCCTCTACTCTAGAACTGCAAAAGAAATATGGAAAGATCTATCAGCCAGATTTGGACAATGCAATGGTGCACAACTATATCAGCTTCAAAAGGAACTCTCTAATGCAGTACAAGGTAACACTAATATAGCGGGTTATTTTACTAGAATTAAGAAACTCTGGGATGAGCTTGATGCTTTCATTACTCTCAATCATTGTTCTTGTGTGTGTATTTGTGGAGGCAAAATAAAAACCATCAAGTCCCATCAGGATGGGAGGTTGATTCAGTTCCTCATGGGACTCAATAGCTCTTACTCAAGCGTTAAGAGTAGTATCCTTATGATGGATCCTCTACCTTCAGTCAGTCAGGCATACTCTTTGCTCATTCAAGATGAAAAGCAAAGAGAAGTGCATATGGAATCTAGCCCTTCACATGGTGCTTTCTCAGTGTCACATCAGCAGTTTGGACATAATCAAAGGTTCAACAATACTCAAAATTTTTTAGGAAATCAGGATGGGAGGTTCAAGACTCAGTTTGACAAACCCAAAACTGGACTCTTTTGCACTCACTGCAAGTTAACCAATCATGAGGTTTCCAAATGTTATAGGTTGATTGGTTTCCCTCCTAATTTTAAGTTTACCAAATCCAAGAAAGAAAAGTTTGCTGCTCATAGCACTAGTAATGTGCAAGGTGATCAATCTCCTGATGTCAATGCATCTGCCAATTGTGCTGGTATTTTTACGCCTCATTTCAATCCTAGTTTTTACTATTTTTCTTCTCACCTCACTTCTAATTCTTGGATACTAGATTTAGGGGCATCCGACCACATGAATTTTGATTATTCACTCTTGTCTAATGTAACTCATCTGCCTACTCTTCTGTATGTTAATCTGCCAAATTCTCACAAACTCAAAGTGACACATAAAGGGAGTGTGCATATTCTGCCTAATCTTGTGATTGATAATGTTCTTTTTGTTCCTGATTTTAAGTTCAATCTTCTTTCTGTTCAAAAATTAACTTCTCAATTTCACTGCCTGCTAACGTTCTTTTCTTCTGGTGCTGTTTTTCAGGTCCCTTCTATGAAGAGCCCACTGGTTCTTAGTGAAGTTCACGATGGTCTTTACATTTTCAAATCAGCACCTATCCAGTCCAGCTTGGTTCCAGACTCATCTTGTCCAGTTTCAGCTAGTAGTTTTTTGTCTAAGTCTGTTTGTAATTTTCCTTCTCGTGGTTTAGGCGTTTCTGTTTCCTTTACTTTTAACAATGACAATGTAAGCCTATGACATCAAAGATTAGGGCAATTTGCCTCTTTCTAATATGAAGCATATTTCCAATTCCCCTATTACTTTTTCATTGACTACTTTACCTTTTCCGTGTGATGTTTGTGCCCAAGCTAGACAATCTAAATTGCCTTTTACTTCTAGCATTATTTCCACTCATGCAATTTTTGACTTGATTCATGTGGATACTTGGGGTCCCTACAAAGTTCCTACCCATGATGGCTTTCGATACTTTCTCACTATTATGGATGATTATAGTAGGGGAACTTGGTCCTATTTACTTAAAACCAAGAGTAACGCTTTCCATGTTCTCAAACAATTTATAACTCTTGTTGAAAGACAATTTCAAAAAAAAGTTAAAATTATCAGATTTGATAATGCCAAAGAACTAGGCTCTAGTTTATCCAATTATGATTTCCTTTCTTCTCATGGAATAATTCACCAAACAACATGTGTCTACACACCACAACAAAATGGAGTTGTTGAACGAAAGCATCGACACCTTTTGGAAACTTGTCGGGCTTTACTTTTTCAGTCTCATCTTCCTTTATCTTATTGGGGGGGAATGTCTTTTAACAGCCACTTATTTAATCAACCGATTTCCTTTAAGGGTCCTCACTTTCAAGTCACCCTATGAGATATTTTTTCAGTCACCACCTTCCTATCATCTTCTTAAATCATTTGGTTGTCTTTGTTATGCTAGTACCTTACCTCATTCCAGATCCAAACTTGACCCTAAAGCTTCCAAATGTGTCTTCATTGGCTATCCTTTCAATCAAAAATGGTACAAGCTTTTAGATCTTACTACTAAAAGAATTTTTATCTCCAGGGATGTCATGTTTCATGAATCATTTTTTCCTTTCTCTCCTTCGTTTTCTTCTATCTCTTCCTTCTCTCTTGTTCCTTTTACTTTCTTTCCTTCTCCTCCTCCTCCTCTACATCCAGATATTCATCCCATTTAGTCAGCTACACTTCCTGCTCCTCCTCCCACGTCTCCTCCTTCCGTTGTTCCTCTTTCCTCCTCTCCTCCTACCATCACTCCATCCCTTCCTTCTCCTCTTCCCATTCGACATTCCTCTAGGATTTATCATCTCCTATTCGTCTCGCAGATTATATATGTAATTCTATCTCTTTCACTAATGTTACTTCTGCCTGCTTTGTAGCTCCTCTCACTCATTCTATTCTTCCTTTTTTTGCCTTATCTCCCTCCAATCAATCTTTTTAAAACTCTGTTGCTCATATTCCCGAACCTACTTCTTTTTTGACAGCTTCATTACAACCTTGTTGGCAAGATGCTATGGCAAAGGAATTTGAGGCTTTGCAACTCAATCACACTTGGGATTTGGTTCCTTTACCACTCGGAAAACGAGCATTACCTTCTAAATGGGTTTATAAAGTAAAATATAAAGCAGATGGTTCAATTGAAAGGTATAAGGCTCGTCTAGTGATTCAGGGTGATGTTCAGAGGGCTGGTATTGATTATACATAGACTTTTTCTCCTGTGGTCAAGATGACTACTGTGAGATGTCTACTAGCTGTTGCTATTAAAAAGGGTTGGGATTTATTCCAATTGGACGTCAACAATGCTTTCCTCCATGGTAATTTACAAGAGGAAGTCTATATGAGGATCCCTGCTGGTTTACAGGTTTCTGGTTCTAATCTAGTTTGTAAACTCAATAAGTCTCTTTATGGGTTAAAATAGGCCTCTCGTCATTGGTATGCCAGGCTCACTGCCGCCCTTCAATTCAAAGGTTTTCATCATTCTTTGAATGATTATTCATTATTCTTCAAGCCGACATCTATTGGTATTTGCATCCTCATGTCAATGACATTTTAGTTACTGGGGATGATTTGGACGAAATATCTTCCTTAAAGTTTTTTATTCATTCCGAGTTTCAGATCAAAGATTTAGGCCTTGCTCATTATTTTCTTGGTTTGGAATTGATCAGAGAAGAACAGGGGTTGATTGTGACTCAAAGAAAATTCACCACTGATCTCCTTTCTGAGTTTGACTGTCTTGACAAGAAACCTGTTGTTTCTCCTTTGGAGCCTTCCACCAAGCTTCGTGTCGATGTTGGTGATATTCTTCCTGATCCGCTTGTTTATCGAAGACTTGTCGGCAAGCTCAATTTTTTGACTCATACTCGACCAGATCTTTCTTTTGCCGTGCAACACCTCAGTCAATACATGCAATCTCCTCGCATGCCTCATTATCAGGCTGGTCTTCACTGTCTTCGTTATCTTCTTGGCAACCCTGGTCTTGGTCTTCTCATCAAATCTTCATCCGTGTTTGACCTTCAAGCCTACTGCGATTCTGATTGGGGTTCATGTCCGGAGACTCGTCGCTCTATCAGTGGTTATTTCATTAGTTTTGGAGGTACTCCAATTTCCTGGAAATCAAAGAAACAACCTTTGATTTCCCTTTCATCTGCTGAAGCTGAATATCGATCAATGTGCCGGGTTGTTGCCGAAATCACATGGCTTGTCCGTTTGTTATCAGACCTCACTGTTTCTCCATCACTTCCAATCCCTCTCCATTCAGATAGTCAAGCTGCTATTCATATCGCTAAAAATCTAGTTTTCCATGAGCGAACCAAACACGTGGAACTTGATTGCCATTTCGTCAGGCAACAATTTCTTGCTGGTCTCATCTCTTTGCATTACCTTCCTTCCACGTCTCAACTGGCTGACATCTTCACTAAACCGCTTCACGGCTTTCCCCATCATCACTTACTTGGCAAGTTGGGGATTTTTCCACACCCTTCCAACTTGAGGGGGGTTGTTGAACATGATTCTCCATCCTCACCTGAGAAGAAGAAATCCAAAGATGCATCATCTAATTCATAATGTTTGGGACCAAGTTTATGGACATTCGTTTTGGAATTAATGTTATGGGCCACATTCAGAATTTTCCTCCTTAGCCCATCTTATATTTTCTCTTATTCAGATTTTGTAAATATCTCTAGAGAATAAAAGTTTGTTATTATCACAGCCAATAGGAAAAGGGATAGATGTGAATTAGTTAGGGTAGAACTTTCTTTTTGTTTCTTTTAGCTTGTATATAGATGGTTTGATACAGCGATGAATGCAAGAGAAATTTTTTTCCCAAATATTCTGTTCTCCTACATAGCCCACTCAATTTTTACTTGTGAAATTCTTCATTCATGCGCTATCACACTAGATATGTTGTCATTCCTCCATGAGAAATTGACATGAATATACAATATTCAACATAAAATTGGCATAAAATAGCTCAATAGTATTTGACAAAATATTACCTAAAAACAATTGACACAAAAGAGCCGAGAAAATAATGCCTCAATTTTAGGAGTTGATTTTTTTTTTACCGACTGACACTAATTAATTAATTTAATTAGCATATTAATTCTAATTAGCTTATTAAAAAATGTTTTTAGTTTTAATGAATGAATATATATATATATATATATATATATATTAACTCATTAAAAAGACTGTAATTACTTTTAAGGAATGAAAAAAATATTTTTAATCCTCAAGTAGTGTGTACTACTAATTATCAAATGTATGTTGACATGTATTGTACATTATATTAATTGTATTATGATATATATTTCTGGTTAGTGTATATATAACTATAGATTTGTTCATGTATTCAGTTAAAATATATTTGATAACATATACGGTTGCACTATAAAGTATACAAAATTTATTTTCATTACTTGTTTGTGTATTTAGTTGCAATGATCTAAACTTAGTATTAAGCATTCAATATTTGTTTATATACATTGAGTATGTGTTGAACTTTGAAATTTTCGACAAATAAACATATATTTAGTTGAATACATGCAATTAAGTATACATTCACCCAATAATGTATACATTACTTATACTTTGTTTGTATACATTATTAGTAGACATAAGTATATTTTGCACCTATTGATGTGTATACATAGAGCCGTCAAAACAGGCTTAGCCCATGGGGCTGGCCCAATCCAACCTGTTATTCGGGTAGGGTTGGGATATGATTTTTAAGCCCATTTGAAACTAGAGCTTATAAGCCCGCCCCATATAAGTCCTTGGCCCTTGAGGATTGATCGGGGCCGGGCCAGTGTCGGCCCATGGGCCAAAACTTTTTATGTATGGGTAACTTACAATAATCTCACTAGTATATAATCTAATTACTTAAATACACACTATGTTGTAATATTATGAATCTTACCAGATTTTGGTACGTCCAGATACATATATCTCAGAATATATGGACTCAAAATCAATTTTGTCTAGATACACTCTATCCAAGTAGATTCACATGTATTTAGGATACATAGACAAATCTCGCACCATCGCCTCCCTCCCATCTTGCTTGTGACTCTCTTATCTCGCTCGCTATCAGGGCAGCTCTAAGGCTTGGCCTGTGAGGGCATTGCTTTATGCCTCAAACATTTGAAGGCCCCAAATTTGTTTAAATTATTATTATTAATTTTATTATATATGAATATAATTTATATAAATAAAATTGTTATTGTATATATTTTATTATTATTTATTTGAGAGTATTTTTTACCAATAAGTTCATAAATTCTCATACTCTTTTCACTCATTATTTGATATATTTGTTTTAACTTCCAATTTTAAAATTTATCCTTTTTATATAGGAACTAAGTTATATATATCGATAACATAATGAATTTTTTTCAATCTTTTCTTAAACTGCATGAACACAAAAATATTCATGCACAAGTTTCCTTTTCGTTTTAATTTAATATATTATATGAAAAATTTATAATTTGTTTTAGATATTCACCAATGAGTGCTACTTAATGGAATGAATTATACCAACATGGGTTGTGGTGCATTGGTGGGAGTACTTCACCCTTAACCAGTAGCTTGTCCTTCTCGTGCTCTTCCAATCGCATGAGATGCAACAACCCATTACGTTCAATCAGCCCCTGGCTTTTGTTGAATGAATAGAGGGTTCAGTTGAAGCAGGGGAGTATACGGGTTCGAGCCCTGGGTATGGAGAAAATTTTGTTGGGAGCGCCACACCCGAATGGGCCCTGCATTGCGCGATCCGAATTTAGTTGGAGCTTCAATGTGGGCTTCGAACACCGGGTGGGAAACCAAAAAAAAAAAGGAATGAATTATATATATCATTTAAATTGATCATAAATTTGGATATTTTTGTTACTATCCAATATCCATGCTCAAAACTTCAACAATTAAGTTATGTATGTTCTTTTCTTTTTCTTATTTGTGATGATAGCCAAATTAAAATTTCAATTTGAGTTTTGAAGCTTAACATCGATGATCCATCACTTTTATTTTTCGTTCTCATCTTCCTTTCTTTTTTGTTTTTGTGTGAAATTTGATATTTTTTGTCTTAAATGATTAATCTATTGTGTAGAAAATAATTTTTCTTGTTAGTGTATAAATTTTATAACATAAATTTAAGGGCCTCTTAATATGATTTTGCCTTAGGCCACGAGATCTGTTGAGCTGCCCCTACTTGCCATATGTGAGATACATGCTAATTACACTAGACTTTTTGCTAGTGTTATTGAAACAACGCCATTGTTTGTCATATTTGGAAAATCTTCTCATTTTTTTGATGTTATAGAACTATAAGTTTAAAAAGAAAAAAATAACAAAAATAAAAAAGAAGGCTTAGCCCGCCCTTGCCCTCGGCCCTTCTAGGATTGAATTGGGTTGAGCATTTTCAGGCCCTTCCAAATGAAGGGCCGACCTGCCCTAGCCCTTCAAATTCCTTGGCCTGCGAGGCTTGGGCCTAGACGATGGAAATAATTACATATGCTACAAAGTTCATAAAATCAAACTAAATTGTGGAACTATACTTGTGTGTAGGACTTGCCCATGTTTGGAGATAGACGTTATGCCGGCTTTCATCATTGCTTTTGATGGGAAGAAGAATGAATTCATGCCTGCAGATAGATTTAAGAATTTATCAGTATTTAGATGTATTTGAATTGTTGGGTTAAGAAAGTGAACCATCAGACTGATGAGAATTGTATAAAGTTTTTGTTAACATTTTTGTGATTTAATAAATATTGTTTTATTTATTTATAAATCTATTTTTATATGTTCAAATGCTAGTATGAAATGAAGGTACGACTTAATTTATTGATTACATTACTCTTTGTATGAGTTATGATCTTAAATTGTGGTTTTATAAAAATCAATTTGCGGGGGTTCAAACTGTCGCAACATAACCCCCGCTGCTTGTTACAGGAGTTAGTGGAAAACCCCCACAACTTAATTATGGCAGACCTAACTTTGGGGGTTGCTGAAACCTCTGCTACAACAAATTGTGGGGGTTCCTAACCCCCATAATATGTAAAATAAATCCCCGCTATTTGGGCTTTTTTTTGTAGTGTTCTTCCATTTTCACATTAAAGTGAACTTAGTATAGGAGTCAATTCATTTGTAAATTTATTTTTTTTTGTTCAATTTTATTAGTAAATCTTTCTTTGTCTTTTCTACTTGCTTTCTCTTTGGACAAGCTCTTACTTAGGTTATTTTTCGATCGATCTAACGAGAGGAATGAAAATAATTGATACAAGAGTTTGTATATAAGTGTTCCAATCAGGGGAGCGACTTTGAGACAAATTTTGTTGTTTGGATTAATTCTTTTCTTAACTTTTCTCTTCTATGGTGGAACTAATGAAACAATGAATTTAATTAATTGATGTAAAACAGTGTTAGATATTTTAATTGCAATTATTAGAGGGAAATCCATTATAATATACTAGTATCTACCTAAATCTTATTTATTAATTAATAAGATAAATTTTCTCCGCTATTGTTATTGGCATAATACATATATTGGACCTTAAACTTGGCTTCAAATTTTAACTTTGACCTCCAACTTTCATAGTGCACAAACAAGCACTTTAACTATCCAACCTTTTAATAAATAAACACGCGATTTTTGGAGCCAAGAGCGTGAAATGCAAACGCTGCCACGTGTATTAGTGAGCCACTCAATGGCTGCCAACTAATTAAACACTTTACACGTGCATTTTTGAACTAAAAAAAATAAAATTAATTAAGGGTATAGTTGTCATTTCAGCATTTTTTTTTACTGTTGTAGGCCTCAAAAATCACTCCTACTCGCGCAAAAAATGTGCACATCACGCATTTTGCCAGGTAAGACATGCGTGTTTATTTATTAAAAGGTTGGATAGTTAAAGTGTCTGTTTGTGCACTATGAAAGTTGGAGGTCAAAGTTAAAATTCGAAGCCAAGTTTAAGGTCCCCATTGTTATTTTATGATATCCTACCTAATGCATTGAAAAACCAAGTTCTTAAACTCCTTGTTTAAGGGAGTAAAAGACCACGACCTACCTAATATGATTTGTCTCAAATCTCCACTAAAAATTTGAGCAATTTCAGATTACAACTATATATAATCAAAAGCATCGGACTAACTCTAGTACCTTACACTTTCTAGTTGTGAAGGGTTTGATTTCTTCGTTTCATACATAAAAACTTTTATAATTCATTTCTTTTAGTAGCCATGATCGATAAGGGTTTTCCATCAATTAACTGAGACGACATGTTAAAGATTTGATTTTTATATAATGTTTGTCAATCATCAAAACTTCGTATATAACATAGTTCAACAAATTCTCTCTTTTTGATTATAATAAATTAAATCCATAGAAAATTTCATGTTCAACTCCCCCTAAGAACCAACTTGATCAACAAATATGACTTAGTAAAATGTGTGAATTGTGATCTCATGCATCTAAGTCTATCTAGAAATTCACCTTCCACTCATTGAAACCTTCTAAGTGGTTAGGTTATGAGAACCTAAATAAGTTCAATCATGTTTCCTACAAACATAGT